TCCAGTGTACAGCGGGGGTACATGTGTACCTAAATAGTTCGGCGACAGGCAAGCGCTTTCAAGTGCGACTTCCCCTCAATATGGCGTGTGGGTGAATGTATTGTATGTACCTCGACTAGTACCTGCAACTGGACGACTTAGAGGTACCATCCAAGCTTCTCTGTGGGCACTTCACGCAGCAAACCCCCAGGTTATTCGAAATAGTAATATGTTGCGTGAGGATTTTGAACTTTGAACTTTGACAGGTACAAGCTATGTGAAGCAGGCAGAGGAGAATGCAAAGTTGCAAAGTTGCACAGGTGCAGAGATGCAGAGATGCAGAAACGTGGACTTTGAATCCGGGTCGAATCCTCTACCGTGAACTAAAATTTTAGCGTTTGCGGGCTGCAGGTAATGAGCAGTGACCTAAGCCCAGCAATGTTCTCTCTTCTATAGTACCTAACCTGTTACAAGGAGGAAGAGAGCTGGCGCCAGCTTAGGGAAGACAGGTACCTAGAAGGAAAAGAACTTGCAAGACAAGCTGAGGAAGCTCCGCGGAGTTGGTGTAAGTGCAAGTGCAAGTGTCTTAAGTTCCGTAATTGATCTGCTTTGCTTTGCTTTGCCTAGCTTTGCCTTATCTGTTTTAGTAGCTTGACTCTTTCCCTTTTCCCTAGGTAAATGGAGCAAAAGCTTACCTGATCCAAGGTTGAATTTATCTTTTTCTTGGGCTTTTCGGTGTTCGGTTTTCGAAGGGTCAAAAAAATGCAGGTGCGAATCTGTGAGGCGCGGGTGTGGATGGGGCGATGGGTCTTGAATGGGACTCCCGTTCCCGTCGTCTTGCCGTGTCCTTCTCTAGTTGAGGTACTTCCAAAATAGGCACACCAAGTATCTTCTTTTAGTGGTGCTTTCCAAGATAGTTATCCCGATGGTCGCGCAACACCCACCACTTAAAACGACTTAAACCAACTTAGCACTCTTATGTTATTCGACGAGAGAGGCAAACTGGTTAAGACTCTAACCTTTCCCCGTTTAAAATGCCAAGATATTTTTTGACGAGGTACGGGCGGGTGCTTGTCCACCGAGTCGGAATATACTAAGTGTTGCGCGGTATACTTGGTTTAAAAAAGAATTTAAAAAAAAATCAACCTAGCGTTTGATTGGTTCAAGTCGATGGCGGGATGTTCCTTTCTTGACGAGATCCCAGGTTGAATATGATAGGCGACGCCTTACTGCAGCCAAGTCCTCTGTGCCGACTAGCTAGTTGTTGCTCCGTCTCGACCGAATTGTGGAATTGTGGAATTGTGGTATTTTTGGAGATAGGTACCAAAGACAACTTGTAAGCTCCGCAGCGAGTATATTAAATAAGTAAGCCGTCGTTTCCACGGTTCTATATCGTGTTTGAGTGTGAGTGTGAGTGTGAGAATAACCAATGCGTAATACAATGCGTAATATATTCAATTGGGGGCCGTTGGTGATGGCGTTAGCCTACTACTGGCTATCGAAACTCAAACTCGGTGGTGTCGTAACGTTAATATGTAAGAGTAGCGTTTATGTATATGCGAATAGTAACATGCAGAGTTTTTGTTGCTGCGCCGTCCGGTATGTGCGTTTGGGGGCTGTCGATGTTCTTGGTATAGGTATGTCCTCGACTTGTTTTACACTGACGTCGCCTTGAATTTGATACAACAGAAAAGGGTGGTGCAGGACGAAAGGCACAAATCAACAAGGGGCAAGGCAAAAACTATAAGGAACGGATGATTGTTTTATACGATGCGAAATATCCTTTTATCGACACTTGAGCGTTACCGTCCTCGAGCCGCGCTCCCTTTTGCGAATTAATGACTTCGACTGGCCAAGGGCGAAGGAAACAAAAAGTGATATATTCAACTTGAAGGGAGGATTTGGGGGGGAGGGGAGATGGGCAGACGGCCCACGATCCTAATATTATATCTATCAGGTCCTAGTTGCTATGGCCAAGATACACTATTGCCGCAGTTACCAGCAAAGCATGTATAATAAAAGCTGGTGGTACAGGGGCGACTGCGGATGTACGGGACAGATCAATTATGTGGCTCTCCTACATGTCTTGGAGACAACCGCTTGCTTATTGTCCACCCAATTGGACCGACTTCAAGAGCCCAACAGTCTGGGAGAACGGCATTCTCTTCGAATCATGCGTCGTAGTAGCATTGACCAGTGCCCTACCGCACGCTCCTCGCAGTAAGGTTAGAGACTTGCTAGAGATATTACGCAATAACTTACAGCCTGACTCATTGAGAGGCTCATTGACAGAGCCTGCGTAAGCTAGGTAGGTACTCTTCTCTACCTGCTACCCGTATCTACATTCTCGAGATACCCGTGCGTATACGGATTAGGATGCAAAAACAATACAGCAAAAACTAACTACGATAAATCAAACTTTTGGTATGTGCGCCAGTTGCTCTCTACCTTGTAGACTGTAGTTTCGCCCTGAGACGTGTGATGTCCTCTTCCACGCAACCGGCGAGGTGAGCAAAGGGATGCCAGTTCCAGACCCCACCTAGCCGACCGCCGCCGGTGACTTAGGAATGTCGTAATCTTCATCATCTGTCGCAGGAATGAAGATGACTATCTTAGGGAATGTAGCCCGATGCCAATCTCCCGTTATGGAACGACGTGTCGCGGTCTCACCTCACCTAAGTGATCTTTCGTCCGCCTCCCCGTGACACCGTGTTCCCCGTTAGTTTCGGCATGACGAGCTCTTGTCGACTTTATTGTCACTCTTAAACAGTCACACTGCAGCGAACACTCGCCTCGACGAACAAATTCGTTGGCTCGTCGTCCCCTATTAGAGTAGGGAAGCAAGTCTACTGAAGTCGTAGCGTTGATTATCGTCAATAGCGAGAGTTGATGATTTTGCCTTACGTTCCCTTTTAGTGTAACACAAGTCACACGCTTCAAAGTCATACGTGTCCAGACCATCCCTCTCTCTCTCTGGACTCTAATAGCTAGGACTTAGGGCGGTGATGCCCTATGTAGGTAGTAATAGTAGTAGTAGTAAGGCTATCTGAGGTATGCCAGTATGCTAGGATGAGTATCTAAATAATATATGCGCCCCTGAAACTACTTGTCCAATTATTCGACGCTACACCATAACGACAGCGTTTATAACCGCCTTACCTCGTTTATTCACAACCTATATCACGGTAAGTAGGTGTGGAGCAGGACGTAGCCACCTGTAGCAAGATATAATTGTGGTTGATTTGAATGTGGCTTCCCGATCGAAGATCCGAGGCATGAGTCCTGCAGCGGCTTCATACCGGTAGCCTTGGGCTCTTGTTTGTTGCTTACGATTCTCGTGTATCCGACGCGCGCCTAGCAATGAAACGTATTGCACAAGCGCAGACCGCAGGACCCCTTCCACGGATAGTTGCAGGCTTTCGAGCCATAGAGAAGGCGTCTCCAGCCGATCTCTGTGAGACATTTGACGTGGGGTGGCCTGGTTTATGCACGGAGCTGCTCTCCTTACTAGCAAACCTGATTATCGAGCAGGTCCCCTAGTAACACGGGAAAGGCTTCGTGGTGATGAATAGTGACGATCCAGCAACCCACAGCTTGCATGCTTGGATTTCCAGGCTGCGAGGTTGCCGCAGACGGAGAAATACCTAGTAGCCCAACACAAAATATGGCGCCGGGTACATCGTTCGGCACAACCTCTGCCATGTCTTAGCTGCAATCAAGTACCGACGCCATTGCGGGGAATATTGAGAGCGTTCTGAATTATACAGGCAGATACACATATTGACATCGCCGATGTACATATTAGTGTATGTCAGTCTTGCCACCTTGAATGTCATTCTCCATCGAAATTGTCCTGGATACGGTGAGCTTGGGTTTAACAGACAACGGAATAGGTATCTTGGATCGAGCAAGGATTAGGTACTCAAACTGAAATTTAATGATCACAAGTTCTGACTGTGATACTCTTAAGGTCTTCTCCGCTAGTGCATACGCAACCCATTTTGTATGTGTGGTTGAACTTGATTTACTTGATTGAGACTAAGAGAGGGTCCCATGAGTACTTTCTTCCTACGTTACCTGATCCTTTTGTACATGACTCCAGTTTGAACGGGCCGAGTTGGTATTTGTGAGTAAATGAGTATACTCAACATCGAGTGACAGGTAGGCAGATAGGTAGGTAGTTATCCGATGTAGAGGCTTGTGCCACGTAGGGTGGCTCCTTTTCATATATCTCGAACTTGAAACTAAGAATAGAATGACGCAAACTGATTCGCTGTAATTTGTTAATCCACCTGTCTACCTACATTAGGTACTCAGTATGGACCTAACTCAAGCTGGCTTATCGATAGCTATGTTCCTTAAAGCTATGTTAGATCTGCATAAATATTGCTGTAATTAGCGCCAAGTGCTCGATCTCGTAGAATTATCCTGCAATGTTCGTCAGACTGGGGGACGGAACTGATCCCAACCATTGAACATCCTTTAAATATCTTCCCACTGTGGGTGAGTGTTGAAATAGTATGTGGGCGTATGTGGGAACCCATTTAACCCATTTACTTGCTAGGTACTGGGGGAAGGCTGAAGCTTAGAATAGAAGAAATAGAAGAATGTGCGGCTATGCTTGATTGGTTAGATTCCCAAAGAAGTCTAGAAGCTCACTTTTAGATATGATTCCGTCCTGTTTTAGGTCGTTCGTCCATGTACAATTCGTAGCGTCATTGGGTCTTAACCGTTTTTGTGTTGTGCTACCCGCTTTTTACTGGAGCCGCTTTAATTCTCATTGGTCGATCTTGAAATTAAGCAGCGTTTAGCTTGGGACTTCTCGATCAATGCACCGAATCAGAAGCCTGTGCCTGTCGAGCCCCTTCCCGCAACGTGTGAATGATAGCAAATAGCAACTACGGATCCGTACCCCCTTGCTAATGACATTCATCTATGGCCAATCATTTTTCACGGCTCTCCTAAGATGAGCTCCACAATCTGTTGATCTCTCTCATCCTCTTCCATTCAACTCCTCGTCTCCCCCCTCCCTTTCTTTCCTTTCTTTTCACGATCTTCGTCGTCGTTGTCGTTGCCGTCTTGGTCTTGTTGTTGCTCTGTCGGTTCAGAGAGTCCATTCCTTTGGCTTTGAGCCCCTCCCTCTCATTCACTCATTATTTGGTTTCAGCTTCGCTCTTTTTTGGGTTGATTCCGTCCGGTCTTTTTTTCTTCTGAAGTTCTCCGAAGCCTTCCGAAGTCTCGAGACCTTTACTCTCTCCCCCTTACGTACGTTCATCGATGTCTTGAACCAATCTAGGAGGCAAAATGGTCATATCCATCCGCCTGCTATCTGGGTTTCTATATTCTATACCGTATTGAGTCAAATATCTAACTCATGTCTCAATGTAGCCGAGCCATTCATTGATTATTCAACTGAACCGACGAAATCCCTTGACACCCGACATTAAACAAACGGCAATACTCCTATCGTTAGATCAGCAGTTATCGTCAATATGTCTACTTTCAGCAACCTTATTGCCCGTGGCAATGCTGTCCTTTCCAGGCGGGACCTTGAGATGGGAGGCGAGCCGGACGGGGTCATCGACCTTATGATTGCCTTTCTTGGCGTCGCTTTCTTCGCTCTTGTTCTGGTAGCCTTACTACTCATGATGCGCCGTGCGAAGCGTGAGCGACAGCTCCAGAAGGATACCCTACCGCAGTATAACGACATCAAACATGACGATGGTACCACTCGTCATCTCACCATCCAGACCGCTGACGGCCGATCAAGTATTCTGGTTCTGAATGGTCGTCCAATGCTAAATGACCCGAACTCGCCACCCTACTCACCCAACAACATTCCCGAGATTCACATCACCTTCCCCGACGAGCAGGATGAGCAAGGTCGCAACAAAGGCGGCCGTGTCGTGGTTGTCCGAGTCGGCGAGACCACTGTTGGTCTTGAGCCTGTAAAGGAGGAGCAACTGCCAGCATATTCCAAGGAGAACAGCGCCGGTTTCTACTCGATTGATATGGACCAAATCGGTGGACTGAAGGAGAAGGATCGAAGCCAGTTCTCCTGAGCTACGATTAGCCTGGCCTTCATGCCAAAATTTCTCAAAGATCAGAAACGCTACTTAATCGCCACTAATCGACACTAATCGACTTAATTTAACATGATGGGGGAGTTTGAACGATATATATACATATGCATGAATAATGGTGTACCTATTACAAAGCAAATGTCTATATTACCCTTCTATAAGTACCTTTAGGAGGAGGCGGGGATGCGGAAGGGCGGACCGCGGTGGAAGACGAGTCTGGATGGATGGCCATATGTTTACCATCCAGTACTCTAGGTACATTCGGTCCTGTATATAACGATACCCCTTTGCTATTTTGTCTTCACTTTTCCGGGGCCACCACGGACAATTGAGCTTCCAGTGCGAGTAATATAGACGAGACCATCAGTCACGAGACATATTCTCAGTTGTATAGCTAAATTAATTCCGTCATCCAACTCACCAATACTTACTTCTACTAAAAAAATACCTAGTTCTATTTGGGCACGTCCACGTTTATCAACATTGGTATATTGAGCACTTAGCTCTAACTAACCTTATGCATAGGTACCTGTTTAGGACATATAACCTCACGAGGCTATCGGACATATAGACCGAGATGAGACAGCGCCTACATAATCGAGACTTATCTCCCTTCTTTCGGTGGGTCACCAAGACCTATCACACCCAACCTCATGAATGATGTATATCGAAGTAAACATACTGCTGCGACTAGTGAGAGACAACGGCCCATACAACGCCCACAGCTATCGATGATATCTATACTGTATAAAACCGTAGTGCTAATGTCCGCGGAGCCAGCCAGTCAGTCCACCGAAGGTACGGCGTATACGGCGATAAAGTTGGGAGAAATTAAGATGAAGAACCATTATCCTCAGCAAAAGCAGCCACCGCCTCTCCGCAGATGTCATTCTTAGACAGCTCAAAACTAGAGAATATACCTACATGCGCGTCTATGAGGCTTTTTGTCGTGCATACATGTGGCTTGTCGAGTAGTGGTAGATACCTATGTTTCATGCGAGCACGGCGATTTCTCGGTCGCCGCTGTCGGCCGATGACATGTCACGGCGTTCTCATAGAGAAGTTATCCGAAACACGAGCATGCAGAGTGTTCGTTGAGATATATATATATACATTACATCTTCTATTAAGCGTCGTTAAATACATTCAGAATAAGAATGCTTAGAATCATGATTTTGGGGGGTTGCTACGACCTGTATAATGCTTTCTCTGTGGTATCACTTCGTTTGCTTCGTAGACAGAGATGACGGTCTACTGCTCTCATACTCTTATATTATTATCGGAGTATGAGAGCAACTCACAGCGTTTCATTAATCTCATCGCTGTAATTCTATACGAACTACTTTATAACCCCAAATAACGCCTAACAGATTAATTAACTCACCTTTGAGGATAATAGGTATTATTAGAACAGAGTACCTAGGACGGAAAGCCACTCGAAAAATTTGCGGAATTATTTCAGGCCATCCTTACTCGTTAACGGGAAAACTGTATGTCCGAACGTATTCACAGTTAACTAGGTAAGATGTCTAAATTATGAAGGTAACTGGCAATCTCAATATTACCATATTTATTCGAACTGTCATGACGTATATTTTTGACTAGTGACGATTGATGAGTTGCTGGCTGTGAGTCTGCGATAGCGAACGAACTTATAAAAATGCAATGGAACAGCAGATAGGTAAGGGCTCTTAGAAATGGAATAACGTCTTCGGCGACCACGCAGTGTTCAATATTGCAGTAAGCCACTCGGCTAGCGAGTAGTTGCGAAGAGAGCCCATGGCTGTCGTGTCTCGGTCTTAAGTTCTAGGTCACTGCGACGGCTCGCGAGAAGGATCCTCCTTTACAATATAATCTACCAAATCATGACGTATAATAGCTCCATAATAACCAAAATCCAAGGCGTGAGGGCGGACATAGCGATATACCTATAGTCCGTATCTATTAGCTGTTTACAACACATGTAGCTGATGGTTAAGCCCAACCGGTAGCAGGTCCGGGTCGGACATTATTTGCTCTAGTTCCACGCCGAACTTAATACCATCTATACGCGGATATAGGTGTTAGCGGATGTATGAATAGCCCTTATTGGAATAGTACCAAGATAACATTGGTTAACTACTTAGATTTAAACCCGCTTTCTTATACCCGGGTTTTCTCTTCGAAGGACTTTTAGAAGCACCGGTATTCGCGCTGTCACGCCATTTTTCGGGCGCTGGGCTTTAATTAGGAATTTTTTTTTAAAATAGATAAAGATTAATCAAAACCAATAGAACAATATCTCGATGCTTGAAAATAACTAAAAAATACCTATGTTCGTATAGAATCAAAGTGCTTTTTGAAGTATATCCCTGGTGGAATAGGAGTTATGTAGTAGCGCTGCTGTGTGCCGTTCCACTATAACGACACCCAATTTATCAATTACTATATATAAAGCGTACGGATCATTCTACGTCAATGTGTTCTAGACAGACTTTGCTATCCTCCATATTCGAAACCCGAACCGTATTATTAAATCCATCACCATGCCGACCCCAGCAGAGAACGCAAAGGCAGTTACCTCATTCGTTAAAACAATATACACTGATACGTACGAGTATATCTCTCCAAAGAATTTAGATCTCAGTGGAAAATCGGTCTTCATCACTGGAGCTTCCAGGGGCGTTGGGAGGGAGACGGCACTTAGCTATGCTAAGGCCGGCGCTTCTGGAATTATCGTCGGAGCTCGGTCGGACTTGTCAAGTTTAGTGCCCGAGATCAAAGAAGCAGCAAAAAAAGCCGGTCGCAAGGCCGAACCGACGGTCCTCGCCTTGAAGTTCGATGTCACGTCGGAAGACAGCGTTAAGGCTGCTGCAGACGCCGTTTCGGCCAAGTTCGGAGGAAGGCTGGATATATTGATTAACAACGCTGGCTACCTCGACGATTGGGTGCCCATTGCCGAGGCGAACGCGGATTCCTGGTGGCAGACGTACGAAATCAACGTGAAGGGGGTCTTCCTATGTAGCAAGTATTTCATCCCGCTGCTCCTCGCAAGCGAGACCAAGACCAACATCCTCACAACGAGCATGGGCGCTATTGCGGTTAAACCCACCGCTTCGGCCTACCAACCCAGCAAGTTTGTTGTCAGCCGGCTTGCGGAATACGTAGCAGCCGAGTACGGGGACCAAGGCATAGTCTGCTACTCGCTCCATCCCGGCGGCATCAAGACGGATCTGGCGACTAATATGCCCAAGGATGTACAAGCTCTGGTCATCACTGACGAAGTAGCGCTTCCGGCGGATACGCTTGCATGGCTGGGAGCTGAGAGGCGACCTTGGATGAACGGGAGATTTATTAATGTCAAGTGGGATATGAAGGAGCTCGAGGCTAAAAAAGACGAGATAGTTAAGGGAGACTTGTTGAAGTTTAGGTTGACGACATCAGCTTAATTTCTTTACCTAGGTACCTACCTACTATGTTGTTGTTATAGGTGATCATCTTTGTCAGTACATACTTTAGGTATACCGTATAGTGAACCTATAGAGAAGTAACATGTCTTATTGGTCAATCGATTGTATTATGTAACTAACTGATATACTTCGTACTTCGTACCCAATGTACCTAAAGGTTGCCTAGGTAGGTATCCACCTGACGTCGCCTGGGTTCGTCATAGTGGACAGTTACATGCACCCGCTAAGCTGCAGACTTGGGTATCACTAAAGTTTAAGGGTCCCACAAGTAAACCCGTAAGCTCTTTTCCTCATTGATAGCTTCAGATATGTGTTTTTAAAACTTGCGGTGTTTTTACTCTTTTACATTATGATACCCAATTCTTTTTGCAACTGAAGCTGAGCTAATTGCAACTTCCTTCTAGCCTTCCTTTTGTCCATATTTTCACCATAGACGTTTTATAGGGAAGTCAATGGCCGCGATTGATCCTTGCACGACGCGTTAATTACCTTACCTTACCTACCTTACCCTCCGACCCACGATGCCCTCCCGCAATGCCCGCCCAAAATCAAAACCCCCCGCGAACGAATTCAATGCCATTGCGGCGGAATGGGCCCGCGCAAAGCAATTGAAAGAGCTTGAGGATGCTGCACAGAAGAAGCCAGAATCTTCCACATCTGATGATGCGCGGCGTGTGGCTCTCGAAACTCATCGAAAGAAGGCTTTTGAGCGCCGCTCTTTTTGGACCATAGGTTTTTGGGGCTGGCTGCTCTGCATCCACATCGTTGGTATATTACTCTTTACCAGCGGTTTCCTTTTGACTAGGTTGGTCTTGGATGAACAGTCAGAATGCGATAGCCCACCTATAGAACCGTTATTGGAATGGAAAGGGAAGGGCACCGTGGATGGTGGCTGTTGGCATCCCAAGACCTTTGACAAAGCTGTTATTGTATTGGTGGATGCTTTGCGATACGATTTCACGGTCCCGGTTGAGGAGGACGACCATGCTGAAGTTTACCACAATGCGCTTCCTTTCCTCTACGAAACTTCGGTTAAATCGCCAGGAAATGCCTTTCTACGACCATTTATTGCGGACCCCCCGACTTCTACTCTTCAAAGACTGAAAGGTCTAACCACGGGCACTTTGCCCACGTTCATGGACATAGGTTCCAGTTTTGCGGGGACGGCTATAGAGGAGGATAATCTTTTAATACAGTGGAGGGCTCAAGGAAAGCGAATAGCTCATTTAGGAGACGACACTTGGACCGCACTATTCCCCGATTATTTCCAACCTAACATCAGCAGGGCCTACGACAGCTTTAATGTTTGGGATTTACACACCGTTGACAATGGAGTCTTGGACCACATATTCCCGTTATTGAAGCCGGATCAGACACAAAAATGGGACGTTCTCATAGGGCATCTTCTTGGCGTGGACCATGCTGGCCATCGGTACGGACCCAATCATGCTGCGATGACTGCCAAGCTTCAGCAGATGAATGGTTTCATTCAAAACCTCACCAAGGAAATCGATGACAATACGTTATTGGTAGTTATGGGCGATCATGGAATGGACGGCAAGGGCGACCACGGTGGTGAAAGCGATGATGAAGTCGAAGCTGCGCTGTGGATGTATTCAAAGAAGCCAGTATTCGGTCGTACCCAGCCCGAGTTCAAAACTCCACCCGCAACGGCCAAGATCCGGCCCGTAAACCAGATCGATTTAGTCCCAACCTTGGCTCTTCTCTTGGGTATTCCTATACCGTATAACAATCTTGGCCGGCCGATCGAAGAAGCATTCATTGGTCTTAAAGGGAGCGCCTGGGATGTTCTCGCAGCCGCCTCTAGTATAACATCCGCTGGAATCAGGAGATATCAAGCATCCTACTTCAAAGCCCGAGGTATCGAGCAGAGCACGAAGCCTGGGTCTCCCGCGGCACTCTGGAAGGATGCGGAAGCCCTCGTCCAAGCAGGCACTAAATCTAGATCGTGGCAAGCTATATACGATGCTTATACTACGTATCAGCAGGAGACGCTAAGAATCTGCAAAGAGCTATGGGCTAGCTTCGATATCCCGAAGATGATACTGGGCATCGTAACCATGGCGTTTGGAGTAGTCGTATTATTACTATACGTCTCGAGGGATGAAGATGAAGATTTTGCAGTCCTGGATAACGCCGAGCTGGACTTCGCCGAGAGGAGCTTGGAATTACAGAGTTCGTTGGCAGAGCCGGAGGGCACATCTTACAAAAGTTTCAGCAAGTCGCTCGCCAAGACTGGACTTCTAAGCGGTGGCATAATAGGAGTTTTAAGCTTGGGATTTATCTATATCACAGGATCTGACGAATGGATACTAGCAGCTGCCGCAACAGCTATTGGAAGTATGCTCGCTGTGACTGGTGTTCTATTACAGATCCGTGGGATACGCATACTCAACCTACTACCGAATACCCCCTGGGGATGGCTATCCGTCATCTTTACGTTAAGCCAATCTATCGGCTTTGCATCTAACTCGTACACTATCTGGGAAGACTCAATCTCACTATTTTTCCTCTCGACATTTGGGTTTGCAAGCGCAATCGCCTCGCTTCGACTATTATCAGTACGCGATCGGACTCTAGGCGTTTATCACTCCATTTTGTTTGTTATCCTTGGACGGGTGGCGTCTTTCTCGAAACTATGCAGAGACGAGCAGATGCCATACTGCACGTCAACGTACTACGCATCCGCCAACTCATCAACCTCAGCCCCTTGGCAATTGGTTATCCCATTCCTCGTCTTCCTCATCCTCCCGTCTATCATCAAATCATACCTGCAAAGCTCGCGATCATATGAGGGTCTCGCACCTATGTGGATCGGTACTGTCTTCCGAACCGGCCTTTTCCTAGCCGCCGTATACTGGGCTCTGGATGCGGCGGATAATGCAAATTGGCTTACCTCGATCCCGGAGAAGACGCTGAAGACTATTCACGTCTCCATCGCCCAACTAGTCCTGGCCGTGGCCATCGTAGCCGGCACTACAGCTTTCATCTGGGCTCCTCCCTGCGTCAAGATCTTCACAACCGCACCCAATAGTAGCAGAGCACAGATCACCGTCCTCGGCTTCGGCAACGCCAACGGCGCGCGGTACCTCTTCCTTCCGATCAACATCGCCGCCGCCTGCATCCTCCTCTCGAAACCCATGGGCGGTGGTGCCCTTGCTATCATGCTTTGGCAAATCCTCTCCTTAGCCGAGATCATCGACCTGAACGACCTCTCCGCCGAAACCATCGGACCCGTAACATTAGCGTTACTCGGCAATTTTCACTACTTCAAGACAGGCCACCAAGCCGTCCTAGCATCCATCCAATGGGACAGCGCATTCATCCCCCTCCTCACCCTGCGCTACCCCTGGAGCCCCCTCGCCGTCGCCCTCAACACCTTCGCCGGGCAGATCTTAGCCGCGACTTCCGCTCCGCTCTTAACCCTATGGAAAACCTCGCCCAACCGTCGCGGCGTCCTAGAAAGTGCCAGCCGCGCGCTCGCCGCGCTGGTCGCGTACTATGCCGTGCAGAGCCTCGCGACGATGGCGTGGGCGGGCCATCTCCGCAGACATCTCATGCTGTACCGCGTGTTTAACCCGCGGTTCATGATGGCGGCTACGGTGCTGCTGGTAGTGGATTTAGTTGCTATCGGGGTCGCGTTGCTAGGCGTCAGGACGAATGTCCTTGCCATCAGCGAGGTTTTCGGGTTCGCGGACTAGGGGGTCGCGTACTCACAGGCAGACGGGTGGCAAATCATAGTGCCCAAGGAATTGGGGTGGATAACTTACATAAAGAGAAATGACGATGGAACGCCTATGTATGTACGCGTTTTGCCATTCGGGTAGAGGAGAAGCGAATGAGGCATAGGGTTTGTTAAGGTATGTCAAGAAAAGAAAGGAAAGGAAAGGAAATGCAGGAAATACCTTAGATACCTAGGTAGATAGCCACGCACCTAAGATGTAAGCAGGCAAGGAAGTAGATGAATAAAAGATATTTCATCTTTATCATTGGATATCACATCAGTAGATACACGCACGTATGTAGAGTCTTAACGAGACCTCAAGGCGAGGTCCGCTGGAGAGTACATTGGTTATGTAAGTGCCCGTAATGCTGTATACTGAGGGTATAATGTCTATCTACCTACCTTAGGTACCTACTTATACTTAATCTAGGTATTCACGCATTCACACAATCTTTTAACCTCCACTGCTTATCTAGGTACCTAGCCATCCACCATAGGAACAAACATGTCACGAATATATCACGTATCCACCGATTCGAAGTACGATATCAGTTGAGCCAGGCGGATTGATGGAAAATGTGAATGAATCCTCCCGACTAATCCGCGAATACCCGTCATCTATGTATGTACCTACACGAGACACTAATCCTTGGGTTAATATACCGTATACGTCAGCCTACTTAACCCTACTTAAGTCATCTCTCATACGTATATATATATATATATATATAAATAGTGATAAAGTATGCAGCGATGTAGTATAAAGTGCTGGTTCGTGAAGCATATACATATGTTCGATTGCATTTTTACAATTGGGTTTTTACTATTTAGCTAGCCTATCCGCTTGTTGAGTACCAAGTACTTACATATGCAGGCTGCAATTATGTACAGGAATCCTATTTTCGTCGTAGGATGGCGTTGGGTGAGCATGCTTCGCCCCATGTCTCAGACACACATCCAGATTGACGACAACCACCGCCGCCACGAATCCAACACGCCTATCTACCTAATTCAAGCCTCAATACGTACCTCGTATGTGCTCGTGTGGTGTCTCCCCATTTAATCCTCCATCTCTTATTCCATAATAAAAATAAGGAAGCTGGCGTTAATTAGCAATATAAATAGAAATAGAAAATAGTTTTATGTTGTGAGAAAAGAAGGCCGAGAATATCGAGTTGGGTATCAAAAAAAAGCGCCGGTATGTATATATGTAATGTTACCGATTCGTAAAAGCAGTCGTCCCAATCCAGTACCCGAAAGCTTGTATCCAAAACAAGCATATTTTGTATGCCTAACCCCGTTCCAAAGACGCCCAAGAAGTGAATTACTGCCGGATCGAAGTACCGATCGTAGGCCCATAGAACGCTACCGAAGCAAGCGTGAAACGAATATGAATAAAAATGACAGGATAAGTAGAGACGGTGCTTGCGTTATAGACGTCGCGGCACTCTCTGGAAGTGGTTCGGGAAGTGTTGCGCTGACGAAGTTCCCACCGCAGTTTGCGTCTATTTGCTCAGCTGCTTTTACGTACGTGCTCGATATCCATTTCGTTCGGTCAGCCGCCGCTGCTTGATATATCTTCATCGTTTCGCTTGTGCAGGTATCGCATGCGGGAACAGCTGTTTCGGGGAGAGATGAATTGAAAGGTAATGTGTATAGGTAGACGTTGGAAGCAGTCGTTAGGTTTGTAACCGCATTGACAAAGCAATATGTCGAAGTGTCCGCATTGTATAAACACGTCGCGCCATATATCTCTTCGTACGACTTCATTCCTTTATAGGCCTGGACCACTAGGTCATTTCGCTTGGTGTAATCCTCTCCGCAATTCTCATCGGATTTGAGCTTCTCAGCGAGATCGTTGAGATAAGTTGTACAAGACTGCTTGTCAGCTTTGCATGATGTTTCGACGACCTGAGTGATTTTGACCACGGATTTCATAGCCTGGAAGAATGAATTGGAATTCTAGAAATCTTGTTAATTACAAAGCCTACGAGATGAGCGATATTTAAGACTCACCTTCAAAAGTAGCGAAAGAGGATAACAGGCTTGGAATGTCGGGTCCTCTAAAAAGGCGTTGATAAAATCGAGGCAAGATCCTTCCCCATCTTCGCCGGAGAAGTTTGCAGCCAGTGCGCCATCGAAGGGTGTGGGAAGAGGGCCTGTCGCAACGGTTGTTTGAGCAGTTACGTCTCCAGTGGCCGTGGCTGTTGAGACGTCGACTGTGAACGTCGTCTCTGGCTGTCGAGGGACAAGCTGGCGATGCTCGTCTTCGGACATGATCTGCCAGTGACCGTTGACGAAAACCGGTATCCGCGTATCAATTAGTAGATTTGTCTCAGTCGATCGTGGGGTGTCCTCGGATGAAATAGCAGCAGCTAGGGGGATCCAAGAGGAAATGATTAGGATGATCACTGCCATATATATCCATTGTTTGTGGTATGGTGAAACGGCAGCAGGGTAGGGCGGGCCCCCGCGGCGCAGTGACCACTGGGACCTGAAGGAGCGGTTCGAATGCATTATTTATGTCCCCGAAGCAGGTAACCGATCAGCGGCTTGTTCGTACATTACTTGGTGATGCTAGAGCCTCCGGCCGGTAGTGATCCGGCGAATACTACGATAGCTAATTGCGGTTCGAAGCTTCAAGTGAAGTTGTAGTAGGAAAATTCTGGCCGTTCCCACCGTTTGCCCTTATTATATTTAACAAATAGCTCCGTTGCGGGGACGGGCTAGCCAATATAAAAAACTGACGGGTAAATGAATGCGTCCCGTAGCGAAGAGTAGAATACCAATGAGATAGTGCGCTTCTATGCAACGAAAATGCCGTAGGCCCGTAGCAAATCCAAAGCAGCGTGCGGGGGTAAATGTTGAAGCTGGAAAATCCACCCCGTGATATGTGTTGGTCTGTTGGTCACTATCAGAGTATTGGGGATAGATAATGACTATGGAGGCCCAACGACGAAAAGAGCAGGAGGATCCCGTTCATAAGCACAAACAGCACACCCGGGCTTTTTCAATCAAATTCTGTTCGAAGCGACACTGGCCATGGGACGACGGTGTATGTATGTATGTATGTATGTATGTATGTATGTACGAGCGGCCCCCGAGCGTTCCCATTTTGGGGCTTCAAGCCGGTTGGCCTATCCGATGTTTCCCAAGATCCAAGAGCACAAAACGCTAGTCTAGACCGGGCGCCTGTCAAAAATGCAGCGGAGAAGATATCGCAATTGGGGTTCGTAGCGTAATAAGACGTGGGCTATAGGCTCTTGGCCGCCCTTGGTAAAAGAAGCGAACCGACCCCAAGTATGTAAGCTGGTGCCTGCCTGCCTCGATGGGCATAGCCAATATGACCGCGCAGCCATGAGTAACATAACACAGGCGACATGTCATTTCTTTGAAGAGGTAAGAGGTGCCGAAATCCATCACATCGGCACATCTCAGGAGGTGAAGCTAGTTAATTGGACAAGGACAAGGACTTCCTTGCTTGATGAAATGTTTACCTAGGGGAGCTTGGCTTTGCTTAAGAGTTTTCGAGAAGGGCTAGTACAATACGTAGCTAGTCTAGAACCGAGTCTTTTTTTTTTTTCTCCGATTCGACTCGATCTCGATTGAGGATGCATGAGGTGTTTGTCAGGTTTGTTTGATGGAGTTAGGAAGTTGGCAGGTTGGTTAAGGGGATTGGACGGGGGTTGCATAAGCGAAATTTTAAAAAGTTTAGGTACTGCAAATTCGGCAACTTTCGCTCTTAGTTGCTAGACACGGCAGGCATGAATTGTAATTTCTAACGAATCATAAAGTTTAGATACATAAAATTTCCGGTTTAAACTGTGGTACCTTTTATGTAGGTACCTAGCCTAACCTATATAATACTTGTATTCATTAAAGAAATTGTATTATAGGTACATACTTAAAACGTGCTAGTACTGCATTATTCAACACTAATGTCAGGCACAGCCGCAACTCTGCAGCTCCTCGTGGTCTACCTGGACCGCTAACAGCCATTAGGGTTATTTTGCTCTAGCGCAGCGGATACCTGCCCCTGCCCTGTTCTTGTTAGCCATCGTACCTCCTACTTGGGTATGTACAGCGTGGTTACCATGTATGTATGTACATACCTAGGTATACATATAGGTAATAGACGATGGATGCCAAGTCCAGTCTAGATACCTAGTTCTTATCACTTACACGCAATAATAAAGCCGACTAGTTGCGACTATTTTCAACTCTTTAGATGACCGCTTCAACTAAACCTAGGTAATAAAGCAACTAATTCCACACCCAAGGTCAAATAGATCTTTAAAGACAAGCGAGGTGCTACAAACCATAGCTTTCTTTCTCAGCTCCGGTTCATCCGTCCGGATCATCACGATCGGTAGTGCAAAGGTAGGTAACATCGGGTCGCAATATTGCAAGGCTAGACGCGTATGTACTATGTATGTATTCCTTCCTTGCCTCGAGCCAAGACGGTCCGTTGATTGGTTTTCGCTTACCCAAGATTTCTCTTCATTTCGTACATATTAGAACCCAGGATCCCGGGTTCTTTCTTACCAATGAGATTTCGAGACTTACTATGGCTCCCTCGCTCTAGATTAACGAGGTCTTACACTATTAACTTGGCCGTCCCTTCGAGACACTTGAAGAAGCGGGCTACCTACTAACAGCTCGGCTGGCTGGGGCCATGTAGGTAGTACTGAGAGGCGTCGGAATATATCACGATACCTACGCAGATTAAACCCTCAAATGTATTGGGATAACTAACTAAACAATTTTATGTACTTTATGTAAGTTTAATATAAGTCATACGCGTGACTGATGCAAGCACGCGGCTTTCCAAGGTATCACTATGCACTTCATTTATATCTTCACCGACTCATATTGCGACTGTGCGGCTTATCATTCGCAACATTATACCCAAAATCAATGCAGTCCCATGAAGCATATGTATAAACCATGAAACAGCTCCAGGTAATCCGTAGATCGATCGTCAATCTCATAACCTTGGGTGGTTAATGATCGACGGAGATCGTCACTTAAAGTTGAACCGATCCAGCCCTACATCGTGATCTACATCACTGCTTAGACCACTTATACATACAGCATCTATATGAATACGCCTCCTAGCTTCCCATCCCGTCAGCAATAACCCAATATCCGAACATACCACCAAAAGTCTAACCTCAGCTCTCTCCCACCTCCACCCGACAGACAAAACAGTATCCATCTTCGTGCAACTTCACCAAGCCATTCCTTTCCTTTCCTTCCCCGTGCAATTAGTAACCCACCTCACCCCGACCCGAGGTTCAAGATGCATGCCCTCTGCCGTCTAGGTAACTCCTAACCTCCCATCCACAAACATGTGCGTAGGTAGGCAAGACGCATGGCACCATCCACGCGGCCTCCCTCCCTCCTCGTGGCAGCCGTGAGACAAGAAGACGCATCTACCCGCGCCTAAGACACGCCTGTCCCGTACAAACAGACCTACCTACCTACCTACCTTACGTCCGTGCTCATCGGAGGATAGACATGTACCTACCTACTATTAGTAGCCACACGATTCTCAGCTGCCGCGAGCTCCAACCTAACGACGGCATCGGGTCTCAGCCACCAATATCTCGTCTCGCCTGCTTCAGTTTCAGTTTCAGGGCGGGCTCCATTCCTCGTATATCTCCGCATGTACAATACGTCGCGACGGTCAGATGTCGTAGCTAGCTTGGAGGACGTAAGTGGAAGTAACAGGCGATATACGATACTGCTAACTACCTGTAATGTATTACCAAAATATTAGCTTCAGTCTAGAATAACTACCTAATTAATATTAGCATACTCAACTAGTTAGCGATTACGATCTACGTAGTTCGACGTGCTTAGGTACCTTAGGTATGCAAGGAAACAAAAAGTGAACTGCCTACCTATCTTCTATAACTACAGTCAAGCAAAGAGGCGTTTAATATTTCGAGCTGCTTAACAACAGAAGTAAGTCTAATCACCTCAAATAATTAGCCAAGGTTGATAATAATAGTATGCCATATATAGGATTAGATACTTACATATTCTCCATATCAGACCCTGCCGTTAAGTATATCAAATCAAATCACACAAGCAGACAGACGCAATCACCAAAACCCAACCTTCCATACCCAATTATGTTTTGAGTGGTTCATTACATTTTACAATTAACTAAGTGACAAGAGTTTTTCTTTCATCCCTTCAGCCCATATGCTATGCTTGCTGCCCATATCATACCTACATCTAGCCATCTACCTCGTAAGTATAAGTAAGCATAGGCAGGCATATCTAGACCCTAAAACGCCAATACGATGCTATATATAAATCGGCCCGCGCCCCCGTCGCCCACTCATGCGACGGCGCGGCCTCTTTCTCTAATAACTCGTCTGCCAACTGCGCTGAGCAGCGGGGGGGAATCTTTATATATCAAAATGAGGGAATATCATCAAAATACCGCGGCCATATATACGTCTTAAAAATCCAACTTAGCTCTCCTACCGAGTCTTCTCCAGACTCTGCAGGTTGACTAGCTCGGCATATCGTCCATTCATCCGCATAAGCTCGGCATGCGTGCCTTCTTCAACAATGCGTCCCTGGTCAAACACGTAGATAACATCGGCCTTCTGGATGGTACTAAGACGGTGCGCCACGGCAATCGTGGTTCGGCCCTTCGCAGCCTTGTCGAGAGCCGCTTGCACAACGTGTTCTGACTCCGAATCCAAAGCACTAGTAGCTTCGTCCAAGAGCAGAATCTTCGGGTCGCGGATAAGCGCACGCGCGATGGCAATACGCTGCTTCTGTCCACCAGACAGCAGGGCACCCTTGCTACCGACAACCGTGTTGAAGCCATCCGGTAGGGACATGATGAATTCGTAGATGTTGGCTTCTCTGCAGGCGAACTCGATGACTTCGTCTGTAACGGTTTGGGAAGAGGAACCAAGGAGAATGTTCTCCTTAATCGTGCCTTGGTACAGGGTTGGTTCTTGGGATACGAGAGCGACGAAGGATCGGTACTGGTTGACGTTCAGGGTGCTTATCTCTTTTCCGTCGACGAATACGCCACCAACGAGAGGATCGTAGAATCGTTCCAATAAAGCAATCGTCGTGCTCTTTCCGCAACCCGAAGCACCAACCAAGGCAACATATTGACCAGGACGGATTGTCAAGTTCAAACCGCGAAGTACAGGTTGTTCAGGTCGTGTCGGGTATCGGAAGTGGACATCTCGGAATTCAATGTTACCTTCAATGGCTTCAACAGGGGTACCGTCCTCAGACCAGGTGTCAATAGTCGGCTTTCGGTCAAACAGCGTTTTGAGCTCCTCGGCGGCGCCGTGAGCCTTGCCCATATCGGGAGCGAACGAGAAGATAGTACCCGCAGACTGTGCACCAAACACCGTCGACATGAACACCACAAAGAAGGTAAAGAGGGAATATTCGCCCTTAGCGATCAAGGTGCCACCGTACCAGAAGCCAAGGGCAAAGACCAGGAAAGTGAGTGACTGAGAAGCAGCGTAGAGTGTCGACGACTTCAATACGGATATCAAACTGGCTCTCTGCTGAATAGCAAGAGACCTCCTATATTGAGCCATGACATCCTCCTCCCTAGTCAGAGATGCGACGGTGCGGATGGCTGAGATGGCTTCAGATGCGTATGTAGCACTTTGTTCGTAAGCCTTTCTGGAGCGACGTTGGAAATGCGCCAGCATATAGAAGCGGAAGAAGCCACAACCTAATAGAAGTGGGATCGTGGCGATACAGACAAGAGCTAATTTCCAGCCGAATGCGAGAGCGAGCACCATTGCCGATACAAGCGTTGTGGTAACCATAAGCAAAGTACCAAGAGTAACACCGCTAAGACCAGCCACGTGAGTAGTTTCGGTAGACAGGAACGATGTGAGGGCACCGGCAGTGTTCTCATCTCGATCAAAGAAGGCAACGTCCTGACGTAGCATGGTTCGGAAAGCCCTATCTCTGACACGGTGAATTAATCGCTCGGAACATTTGGCAAAGGCAACACCCTGGGATATTTGGGCGATGAGCATGACAAATGCCAGCATGAGGAACATGGCGCTCCAGAAATCGCTATCCTTCTTGATCTGATGGCTGTTCGCAGG